TAATTGATGTTGATGATACGGATTTTATGTTGTCCTGTAGAGATGTGGTTCATGATGCCGATTGTTGTCTCCCTCGAACAAGCTATTTCCAAAAAACCTGGTTCCATATTTTAGCTGTGCAAATTCATCAGCGGCTTTATATCCCGTTACAGCTCCGCTTCGTCTCGCGAATTTACCTTCCCGAAATTCGCGAAATAAATCCGCACGGCATAAAATCAAGGGGTGGTTTTCGCGAATATTTTTTTCGCTGACGCAGCGTATATATCTCGCATTTGATGTGTAATCCGGACGACATCAGAAAGATCGAATATTTGCGTACTTTTCGCGAAAAGATTCATGGTTGAGAGGAAATGGCTGGATGCGACGTTATTTGCAGCGAAATTAATGCGGTTGGTATGCATTTCAAAGTGTGTCTGGCACTGCAGGAAAAGTGAGAAACGACGATAGTGACAAAGGGACTTCGGAATTTTGCGAATTCTGTATTATTAATATGCAAACAACGCGACAACAACTTTAATGGATCCCATTTTGTAGCAGAAGATTCAAGTGAATGAAAAATCTGAGAAATGCGAATAAGATTGTTGTCTAATTTTCTTCAGATTTTGCACTAAAGAGAAAGAAAAGTGCTTAAGCACGATTATTCATAAAAGAATAAAATTAACAAAAGAACAAAATTTACGATAAAATTTAAATATTACTTGAATATTTATAAATATTAATTCTTGAATGTTTAATTTTTATCATATTTTTAAATAATTAAAAAAATTTTCGTTAGTAATTTATTAATGATAATGCTATCACAGTATAGAATCTTAATGGTTTTATTTCATTAGTTCAGTAACTTTGTGCAACGCACAGATTGCACACAATAAACGTGAGAAATAATTTAAAGGAGACGAGTCCGTGCTTTTCCGACGGTATTTTATGTACCGCAACGCATACACGGGCTGGCCTTAAATGACGACGACGATGGCTGAAAAAGTCATAACCACTTTTCCGCGTGGACGTGAGGTCCGTTGAAATATTATCAGGTTGAAAGTGCCGAGCGAGTAACGTCAACATTCCGCGAGAAGTTTCAAAAGGAGCGCGCGATTCCTCGTTATAAAGCTCAAACAGAAGCATGGAAGAAGACGAGCAGGACGGAATCATAAATAGAGAAAATTGCGCTTCATGCAACACTATGCGAATAAGTAATTTACTCCTGCGATTATCTTTACGAGTTAGGAATATCAATCGCAGCGGGTAAAATATTGAAGCTCAAAGATTGAATTCGGATCTCTGTTAGCACAGATCTGCTGAGTAAAGTACTTTGTGAATTATTTATATAATTTATATTTATAAATATAATATATAATTTTTAAGAAAATATGGTTAAAAATATCGTTCTTTAAATAGAAATGCAGTGAAATTAATTCAAGAATTTCTTTCATATGTGTATATATGTTTTATAATAAATATTATAAATTTTTTCATTTAACAAAAAATGGAATAGAATTCTAGTAGATTAAATTTGAATCTGACAATAAACTTGCTGAATAAAAAAAATTTGCGAGTCGTAAAATGTTTTAAAAAATAATGTAAAAATTTTAAATAATACATAACAAATAAATTAGAAAGAATAAATGTCCGTCAGTAATATATTCCTAAAAAATTTTTATAAAATACGGCTAAAATTTATGTGATACTGTTTGAAAAGATTAATAGTGCAGTCCGAACATTTTCTGTATTCTGAGAACGGAAAAACATAATTTTCCTCGATTTCGAAAGCAGACAAATAGCAGATACATCGCTATGACCATCGTGGCCAAGGTTTCACGAAGCGCAGTTTGTAAGGACTTAAACGACTTTCTTTATGTTTTCCTCTTGAAACTTGACAAAATGATAGTCATAAAAGTCTTACTAAAGTCCTGCGTTTTAGTATATAATTTTTTAAGTTCGAATGTTTTTGTCGGCAATAAGCGGCGCGTGACAAATTTTACTTCAATATGTGCATTGATAACTAATCACATTCTTTTTTTTCGAGATATATTAAAAAGTCGTTGAAAGTTAATTTGATTACATCTTTATCTAAAGCGCGATATTTCTTTAATCCTACTTGCTTGGATTATATTTTATAAATATACATATATTACGTTAAAAGTATTACATATTCTAGTCTATGCAGATAAAATTATATAATATATATAAAATATAAATCTTATTTGCATGGACTAAAATATGCAATACTTTTAACGTAATTGATTAGATTGTATAACGTATTACTGTATGTTATCTATACAGTTGATGCTGGTGTGTTGACGCAGATAACGAGATTGCAATGAGAGTGATAGTGCTTTCGTACTCTACGGCATGCGCATGCTTATAGGACACAATAGTCTTTGCGCCATAACGTCAGCTTAGATCTTTGTACGGTAGTATATCATTCACAGACAGTCATAATGGCTATTGCAGCGTCATCGATACGCGGCGATCAATAAATCACTAGTCGAAGATGAGTAACGCAAAATTCAGAATTAAAACGGAAATTTCGGAGAAAGTCGTCGGCTGATTCATACTGCGTTTAATTAAATTGCATAGTGAGGTTGGGTGTTCATGTGAATTCCGTAAATTTCTTATCGAATTTTAATTATCCGATAATGAACACACACACGTTGTGCGCAGTTATTACCCGGACGCATATTGTTATACGGAACTCGCCCGCCAAATTGTTGATTTAATTAAGTACTAGAATTAACTATTAAGCCGCGAACAATATATATGGAGCATCGGTGCTAGCCAGTCACTTTAGTGTCGTTAACCGAGAGTCCGATTACAAGATAAATGCACACATCGGCGATTCCGCGCCACTGACGTCAAAATCGACCTTGATGCGAATATCCTTGATGATTTCAAAACGCAAAATTAATCATTCTGCAGTAATATCCTGATGATTATCAAATGCTATTATCCCAATTGTAATCGTTTGATAATATAATATATAGAGTATTGCAGCATAATCGCGCTTCTCTATCTCGAGAAATTCTTTTTTATCAATTTAAAATTGATCTTGTTGTAACAAAAATTGCACTGCCATATTTTTTATAGCGATTGTTATAATCCCTCTATACTTTAACGTAATTTAATAGGAATTTAATTTGCATTAATTACCGTGGCAACGTTGCATCGAAGCTGTTTGGAATCGTTCTTACCGGCAACTTTCTTGTATTAACGCGTTACTAGAGACGTTGGTGACTGTAAATGAGATTTTAAGGATTGAATTATTCAAGAAGATATTTTAAAAAACGGGAGACAAATTTCGTCCGGCCGCGTCGAAAGCTGAATAAAATTGCTTTTTGGGAATGCATGTATCCGTCTACGCGGAAATCCAGATAAAATATAATACAATTTTGTCGAAACCGGCGATAAATACATCGAACATATTATTTCAATTAATACATTAAGCAAATTGCAATATTTCAAATTTGGTTATTTTATATGATCAAGTTATATAAACATGCGTACAAATCATTTAAAAGAAAAACATAATAAATCATTCCGAAGCACTAAAGTCATATATAATTTGCGACAGTAATTAATCATTTATCTTGATTATTTGATATTGATTACATTGGAAATTATTTATACGACTAATGCAAAATTTATATAGCATCAAGAATGCAGCAATAAACGACAGGAAAATGTTATTCATGTCAAATATATCTCATTAATTGAATAAGGAGACATTTATTATCCGATTGAGCACGAACTTTATATCGTTTTCCACTCATTCTTCTTAATTGCATATTCGTCGTGTGAAAAGTCATAATGAATTTGAAAAATACGCACTCGAGCTTTAGATATATCATTTCGTCGACAAATGGCCTCATTATTAATGTCAATCTCGCTGAATTAAAGCAACATTGTCTTCGCTAGGTCCCTTATTATTTTATATAAACGTTAAACAGAACGTTTTAGCAGAATTATCAATATCTCAGTATCAATTGAGTTAGCGATGCTATTCACGTTATTAAATTCCGATTAAATTACGACGGCACGCATTGAAGGGACGCATCTCCTTTAAAAGAAAATCGGGGTCGTTTATCGCGACATAATCGACAATTATCGACTGCTTTTATATAGACCGATCCAAAAATAAAAAAAGAAGGAACTGCAGCGAAGCTATGCGACGCTTACACATCACGATGCGCTCGTGTACTCGCGACTGTTAGATAACTCGAATTACCCCGACGTTGTGTCGTAAGAAAAATTTATTATTATGAAACGTGCGTCAGTAGGTGTTGATATTGAGCGACTTATCGCTTCTTAAGAAAGGCTCTCTTGAACTCGAGAGATTATTATATAAAGACCGATGCGGCGCTGGGAAACACCGCAGTCATTTCAGTTAGAAACGAGAGTGCGGGAAAGCTCTCTAATACCTATTAATCGTTCCTCGCAATCTCAATCGCAAGCGTCTCGTTTTTTATCGAGCCAGTTGACTCGTGCAATTAATTACAGCTGAAATTACCACACGTTTTTATAAGACGCGTGCTCGATTCTACCTGATTTTGATCATTACGTTAATTATAGGGTCAATTGGAATAATTATTCTGTCGAATTTTGAAGTTAATTATATCATTTGCAAATATTTCAGAATTATTCAAATACGTGATATATATATAAGTGAGAAATCTGTGTGGTCTATGGATAAAGGAGTTGATTAATAGCATTATCGATCGAATCTTTGAAGAGCAATGAAATAAGATCAATATTTTCGCTAAGAAATTGCCGATTAAGGCAATCCGTGTTTTCATAATGACCTCGCGAATATCGGGCCGGATTGTATATACAAGATGGCCTGATATACACTCACACATGCAAGTGAGCCGCGATTACTTTTTACTCTCGAGATAAAAGAAGGGTCGGTCGCTCGAGACAATCGACCCTGATCGCCACTCGATCGCGAACGAATATTAACACTGCGCACACATCTAACGCCCCTTTCTCTCTTCTTAACCCCACAGGGTCCAAAGATGCCGCTGTCGGAGTTCCGCAAGAAAAAATTACTCTTCGTCTTTAACGCTTTCTTCGGTAAGTATAATACTATCACGTACAGTTAAAATTCTCGGCATTATATTCAGCAGATATTAATTTTTATTGACAGTAATATTCTATTATTAATGACGACGAACAAATAAAAATTGTTATAAATTCGCCGATATTATATCAATACTCATTCTTTCATTAAAATTAAATAAAATTGTCTGCAATATTTTTAATGAAAAATGAGAAACCATCGATCGTTGTAAAAGTTGGATATTAAATGAAGGTAAATAATAATAATAATGGCAACAAAGCTGTCCCGGCCGTAGTATGAAGCGATATTTTTAGCTTTTCAAGCCTGACTTTACGCCATTCACGCTGATGAGATCTCACTCCTTTCTCGCGATTGTTTATATTTCGCGTAATAATCAAGTCTACAAGAGTTCGAACACAATTCGAAGCATTCTGTTCGCGATATAGAAAACTATTGCAATTTGAATCATTTATTCCTGTCTTAATTATTTTTCGAACAAAAGTAACTCGATCTAAAGAATATAATCTACAAAGAGATGACTTATGTTAAACTTGAGCAATCGCTAAATCAATTTCAGATAATTTGACCAAAAGTCTTTTCAAAAATATATTATATTTTATTCTTGGTAAATTATATCGCATTAACTTATCACTTGAAAAATGTATTGTTCTTTCGTCAATTTTACTTCAACTTGCGGTACTTGCGCCGCAATTTTTTTTTGCCGTAGAGTTTAGCCGACGTTACTGGCCAAACGCGCTCGACAACGAGCAAGCTGTTTTCGCCGACATTTCGAGATAACATTTACCGCCCCCGCGGCGCTCGTTGGGCGAAAATCTCTCTCGTCGTCCCCGTTTCTCCGTACATCTCGACGAAACAAATCCTCATCGAGCGCTAACGTAACGAACGAGGTGTCGCTTCTTCCCTGATGGCGTTCTTCCCGCGTCGCCTCCACCCTCTTTTCTGTCGGTGCCCCGACATCCGCGCTCGCATTCTCTCCGTCCGGGTTTCCCTTGATTCTCTCTTAACGGCCCTATTTCACCGCCCCTCCCTCCCTCATCCTCTCGCGCCCTTCTCGCGAAAAGCTGCGCAAGCCGTATCGTTTCGACACGAATGAAATACGGAGCCCGCCCGGAGGGTCGCTCGTCCACGCTGTTCTTTTCGGGGAGGATGAAAACGGTATCAGGATTGTGCGCGCGAGCATTTTGTGCGGTCTCCATGTGGCACCTATGTGTCGGCCCATTCCGGGCAAGAGCGATGGACTCGTGTAATATATAACGCCTATTTATGGTACGAACTGTGGAGAAGATAAACAATGGACGCCGTCGAGTCCGGTCAAAGGGTCTCGGCTTCGCCATGTATGATGTAGGTGTACGCGTTCTAATTCCCCCGGCGTGCCTGAGTGCGTGAATGAGCTGGTCTCCAACGACAGAGTTCGTTTTAAGACTCTGGGTTTTAGCGTCACTTTGCTCTCTTTCGAGGACTCGGACCACTCCGTATCGCGTCACGATGGGGTATCATAAAATGGAATCACGTCTCGCATTAATAGAATTTCCATTTACTTTACGATAAAGCTGCAAAAAAATTGTCTGACCATCGGGGCGAAATGACGTTCTCTTCGTTTGCGAATCTACTTTGAATTGGAAATGACGCCATAGGAAGATGACATTTGAAAAAGTTATGTGATATGAGCCTTTGTCTCTTTATACTAGAATTGTACGCTCGCTAGAGAGTTTCAAATTATTAAAAACCGTATTAAAAACTTGTTGGCTTGCTAAATATAATATCCCAATGAAATCTTTGTCAATATGAATAATATGTATAAAGTTTAATGACATTTTTTACTAATCAGAATATTAAATTTTGACATTTTCGCAGTTATTATGCCTTATTTCACGTCTGAGATATTTCCCTCGAAAAGAGCTCGCAGGCCTCATGCATCCTACTTATAGTGCCTAATGGATGAAACGGCCGTGCCTCGTAGACGCGTTTCAATGTATGCACGTGTTTTTACGATGACACGTAATGTAAAAATGCATGTGCGCCGCGGTACAAAGCAGAACCACGTAGAGGCGGAACACCACGAGTATGCAAGTGTGCGTATCCATGTGTGTGTGCGTGCGTGTGTGTGTGTGTGTGTGTGTGTATATGCAAACGCGTGAATGCGACGCGGTATTGCGGCTATGAGGAACGTTGCGCGCCACACGTAGCGCAGATCGTAGAGGTTGCAGACGTGCACACGCCTGGCAGCCCTCATTAACCCCTCATTTTCTTCTCCGCTTTGACCGCCGCCGATTGGCCGCTAAACATATCCCTACGTACGCTTCTGCGGGACTGGAACATTTCGCCGCGGTTAGATGCGATAGCGAGCAGAGGGGCGCGCGATGTATTCCCCGTGAATGGTCGCTCCGTTTTCTTAAACGGCGCGGAGATTGTTTCTATTATTTTTAGATTTTACTTATGCCATTAATTATTTTTACAATATTACTTGGCAATCGCTTCATACTATCGCTTGACAGTGACAACTGCTTCACCATTTGTTTCTAATGATAAGAACGCGAGGTTCCGCAAAGTATCCGCGCAAAAAAGGAAATGCATTATCTATTATTTGCATCTCGTCGCAAAACGTACATTTATACGAGAATCTGATTGATCGATTTTTAATCTCCACAAGTTCAGAGTTTTTGCAACAAGTTGTAGCATTAAAGATACCTGCTTGCACGTCCGGACGTTCGTATTAATTATTTCATCGTGACCTCTCGGTTTGTCAACCGCCTCGGGGCGGATGCCGGGGAGACAATAAATTCTACCTCGTTGAATCGTAATCGGCGCTTAACAGGATTCCTGGACGAAGTCGGAAAAGAGCGGAACGGGGGGTAGTTTCCTTTCTACAGTGAAACGGAATTAATAAACGACAACTTGGGCGCGGAAGCCGCGGGAAAACGAATAAACCTGCGGTGAAAGTGGGTCATCTTCAGAAAACTAACGATATCCGATCGTAGTGGGGCCAAAATCGAGTGGCATGATCGTTCATCTTGTCCTTTAAGCGAGAAAATGTACGATGCACTTCGGGAATGCTAGAGACAGCTGCGATGGTATTTTGTACAAAATAACAAATAGTCGCGCCAAAAGATTCAACGAACGAAATACTATGTTTTTGGATAATTAAACTTTTAACTAAATTGTAAATTTAGATGATGACTGCACTAATATAAAATGTTTAAACAGCAGTAATGTTTTATTTTCCTCAGATGTTAATCAAAGTGGCACCATCGACATGAAGGACATTGATCTCGCCGTGCAAGTAAGCGTTTTTCGTATTGGTTAATTAAATTGTTTGTTCTCTAATACTGTTATACGTTTTGTTAAACAGGAATGTTAAATTTACATATTTTCGGGATAAAATAAATCTGATTTGCAACGTTAAAGTTGAGAAATGCAAATACATATATGATAGATTACTTTTTTTAAATCCGCGTCGATCAATCAGGCAAAGTATCCTGCAGCTGACTCGTATTTATTTCGTATTATAGCGAATCTGCAGCTCGAGGCATTGGAAGTTAGACGATGCCAAATCGCAATACATTAGGGACACTTTGACAAAAGTTTGGGAAGGACTGCAGCAACGCGCCGACGAGGATCAGGACGGACAGGTATAAATTGAAATTGTTCCTGGTTACTTTCGCGACAAAATCAAGTTATGATTTATCAGACTTTAAGATATTTTTTTTCCCAGTTTACTGTCTCTGAAATAACTTCCTGAATTTTTAGCATACCTTCGTTCCACTTTCTGCCTTTATCGATTTTTAAAACGGTTTTTACGTTTATGGTTTTTAAAATAACTTCTTGAATGTTTGTTGATATATTTGCGTTTTGCTTTCGCAACGTAAGAAAATATTCTGCGATATTTCGCGATATTCCGCGACTTTGCGATTGAAATTGGAAACGACATGCAGCGAATACAGACGCAGTATGTCGATCGGATGCGAGTATATGTGTTCACGATATTAACAGTCGCGTAACTTTCAGATCAGTCGAGACGAGTGGTACTCGATGTGGGAAGAGTACGCGAAAGATCCGGCAAATGCGCTCGAATGGCAACAAACATATATGAACTTTATGTTCGATCTCGAGGACTCTTCCGGTAAGACCCGGCGCGCCTGTTTTTTCCATAAATGAATACGCTTATATTCCGCGCCGGTTACGCGTAATTTATTACGCATTTGCACAGAGATTCCAGGAATACTAATGTAAGCATAATTACTCGAGCAGAGAGTGACTTGCGGGAAGTATGTATCATTAATTCCTCTCGCTGAGTTTCGCGTATTACGGTAAATACGACGGAGAGCCCCCCCTCTCTAAACTGCTCTCTTCCTGCTGTTTCTCTTTGCCTTTTCAATGAATAGTGTTGATGGTAAAGAGAGGAAATCCCGTAAGAGGATATATTACGTAATTTATTTCCTCGCTATTTCCAACGCGCGTGTAAAAATAAAAATGCTACAAAATATTTTTCATCACTGCTAATACACATATAATTTATACTTTTTCGACAGCGTGCAGAACTGACATTTATATTTTCTCAATATTTTCTCTATTGTTTTACTTGTGCAGTCAGGAGCATTGAAAGCTATCCGCTCGAGTTACCCCTTTCACAAAAGCATTTATTGCATTCTTTATTTTTCCATTTTTTTCTTGGATGTTAGATTGGCATCATTCCTCCATCTACTAATCTTCATACAACATCCAAGAAAAAATAAAAAAATAAAGAATGTGATAAATGCTTTTGAAAAGTGCTGGAAATGGATGAAAATCCAAGTGGATAGCTTTCGGTGCAATATGTTTTTAAGATCTAAAAGTAATTATAGATTAAAGATGAATGACGGTTTTGACTGAGGGTGGCGAGGGTTAACGAGATTATAAATACCAATTAAGCAACGTCCCTTCCATTCAGTCCCTTTCATCCACTCACACTAATCTCCAATAATATACCTCGCCGTTGTACACGAAAATTTCTCGGCGATTTACCTTCTCGGTCTCTTATATATGTAAATTACAAGTAGCTTATGTATATAAAATGCAGGCGGTTTTAGACTCTCGAATGCGATCTGTCCTGTGTCGTCAGGTGACGGATCGATCGACGAGACCGAATTCAGCAAGGTGTGCGGCTGTCACGGCATCGAGGAGGCCGAAGCACGCGAGGCGTTCAAGAAATTGGAGGTGGTGAGTATCAATCAAGCGGAAAAAAGAAATAAAAAGGAAAAACGGGAGAAAAAGGAAGGCCGATGTTGCGCGCACGACGGTGTAACGCGATATCGAGTCTCACGAAAAACTGTTTACTTCTCCGTAGGGTCAGGAAGTGACTCGCGAGAAATTCGCCGATCTGTGGAAGCAATATTTCTGCTCCGACGATCCGAACGTACCTGGGAACTTTATATTCGGAAAGACTTCATTCTAACTTCTTCGCCACACCGTGTGAGATTGAAGACGCGCGAATATAATATATATATTATAAATATATATATACATATATTTTCGTCGTTACGACAGATTATTATTTTATGTAAGTGTATATGACTCGCTAAAGAGATAGACGCAGTTCTGTATCTACTAGTTAAAATTCTATTTCGTTTACTGCTCTCCCGTGTAATCATATACCGAAATAATGAATATAATTATAATTAAACGATCGAGAAAACTTTGCATTAGCCTCCTGTTCTTCGTCGCCGCTTTTTCCGTAACAGCTGTGTTTGAATTTTCATAATCGCGACGTGATTCCGGCCGGATAATGCACAACTTTACTTTACTAAACGTCAGGCTATTTTGCAGTTCTATTCACCACGTTGTACTAGGTATTTTTATTGTATGTGCGATTGATCGATACGCAACAAAAAACACAGAGTTAACAGTATCTCGCAAATCTAGCTTGCAGCTTTTTCTTTCATTACTGCTCTATGTAATCCATTGTTCCTTTGATGGTATTTGCAACGATTTCGTGGACTGCCAATCCCAAAACTATCCGGGCTCTGCATTTTAAACAATCGCCACGGCCAAAATATTCCGAACGATCTGTCAAAGGCGTGTTAATTTTTTATTTGCAAAGCTTTCTAAATATTTCACAGTACGGGCACGTGTTAATGATTCGAATTAAGTATCTATCTTTATGGCGCATATCGATCCATCACCGCCGAAGAGCTAATTATGCCGCATAGTGTGTAAATAAACGCCCTTGCAAATTATAAAAGTGATTACGCTGTTTCGATACGTGAAGAGACGAAAAGAGGCGGTCGGCAATCGAGGTGGTTTTTTTTTCGCGTTGCATATATTTATTTATATTCCCGGCGCGGTTTAGAAGGAGGGCAGTCGATCGTAAATCCGTGAAAATCTCTCTCTCGTTTTGCCGATCTCGTTTCGCAAAACGGATCGGATTATTAACAATATTCGATTGTAAAATTTGCCGAAACTGATTGGCATGTGGTGCTGAGAGAGCGAGATTTCTCTCTGGCCCGCGCAAGATATTTTGAGAACCGAAAACAAACGGTGCTCGCACCAAACGTGCGCACCTCTCTACGCAGCTCCGGTATTTTTTTACCAAAGTACCGTAACGTTCGCTCATTTCACAGTATTTCGTTACCCTTTAATTTTCTCTAGACTCTTGTACGTAAAACAAAAAATCTTTTTTTCTCGTTTGAATTGTTTCGCTGGCACATTCATAACGGCAAAACCATGCTATTTTCGTATTGCTGAAAAGAAGGATTTAATTTCTACGGAAAGCGTACACGATGTTTCGGGAAAAAAGCAACTATGCGGCGAAAACGTGAAGGAGATCGATAAACGCATGTTACTCGATTAACAACTATTCATCGTGCAATGATGCGCGAAATTGTTGTTATATTGCGTTGCATTGTAAATCATACTGCATACATCTGTGTGTCGAACGAGAGGATTAAATTTTATGCAGACGATCGTTCGATCAGCTAGCGATTAACTTCGCTATATTGATTCTTCACCGGTAATTGCTATCGCATTCTGTTATAAATTCGTGACGGGAATTCCGATGTATGACCAATTATTATTTGCGTCGCCATATATATATATCAAAAGATACAATCACGTCAAATATACATTATGAAATTAATGGTAGATGTCTTTTGAAAATTATTAATTGTCGTAATAATGGATGTGCATCGTATTTCAGCAATCAAATTATTTGCAGAAAATGTGTACTTTAACGTTGATTTCTATCAGCAGAAAGCGTTTCATTGATGCAACTGACACAATGTCACACTAGGGAAATTATAATATTTACGTTCATTTTAATTATCGATCACTGCCCGTGAAGAGACAAACATAACATATATCGAAACAGCAGAATGTTCAATCTACCGAGTGTGTAAATAATAAATCACGACGAGTATTTTCCGTACTTGTTAGAAAGTGGATGTACTGATAACAATCGCTACATTCTCGTCCGCCATAAGTCCATAACGATTATTAAACGAATATACGATGCGGCTATAAACTAGAGAGAAATATGAATGTAATGAAACACTCGTTGTCAATTGAAAATGTCCAGGCACGGATTAAGCGACATGTTTAATTTTGTCAAAACAATCAACAAGCAAGCGCACTTTCGTTAATAATTATTAAACACTTTATGTTTTACTTCCGCAATTTTAAGTCGTTATACGCTGTGGAGGTAATTATACTGGCAAAATTTACATAATTTTCAATCCAAGTATTATTACGCTACAAAATTATTCGTAATTTATTTAAAGCAATTTCTTATCAGTAGTTTTTCTTCAGCAAAAATTAAATTTGTTATGATATTCTTTATTCAATCATTTTACAATTTTAATAAAAATTAAAATTCATGTATTCTAAAAAAAAATCGTAAGTTTCTTAACCTGTGCCTGCAATAATGTATATGGTTTCATGTTGAAAGAAGTATAACATGTTTACCTGTTGTAATAGGTATGTACGTACTATTCCTGTTCCTATAAGATGCATATAAGAATATGTTATATAAATATCACAGCATGTCCCTATACGTGAAAGAGATCGACGAGAAATATAAAATATATATATACTGTAAAAAAATTAAAACTGCATATCCTTCTTTCGATAAAGATATCCCCAGCCTTCTTATCTTGGCATATTTATAACGAGTAAGTTATATACACTGTACTGATATAAGTACGTATAGTAAATTTGTGTAATTCATGTAATAATCGTAACAACTTGTCATGAAATTATTATTAAGAAAAATCATAGCATACAATTAAATTGTAGAAATTATAGTTTTATTTCCAGATAGCCAAATATTGATTAGGTTGATAACAAATTTTATCAAATTTTGCTTACTGGATTATTGCAAATACTCTATCGCAAATTGTTCGCATTCTTAAAGAAAAAGAAAAAAAAAGAAATGACTAATGAGGTCATTGCATGCCGTTGTCAATGAAGACTGGCTTCATCTTACGAGCTCTTGTACTCGCTATTTACTCCATTAATTACACTCGAGATAAGCAGTTGAGATCAGGTATTCAAGGACATTCACTCTGTTATTATACGCATCACAGTAAGCCAATGTAAAACTTAATCTCCAAAAATAATAAGATGAACTGTGTTTATTACATCATAAGACATAGTTTAATAAGAGTATTAATATTTAATCTCAAGCAAACATGAATGCGTACTTAGTTGCAGCTTTGACAACGTAATAATACACTGATGCAAAGCAGGATGAGCATAATGCAATAATAGCAAATCATCATAAATTAATCAAATAAAATAAATTAATTAAATTTCAATTTAATTGTTAGCATTCTTTATATCATTATAGAATTTTTTCTTTACATTCTTTACATCATTATCGTCAGCATAGTTAAAACATTTTTTTTAGTGACTGTCAAAATGCATCCGATATAAAACAAGAAAATATATTTTTTAAAGACTTAAAAAATATCAGATTCTTTCATTAAAATATCGAATGCTTTCCAAGAGTCGCTAAAAATATATTATATATATTGTTTGTATTTTTTATCGTGAACCATTTAAAATATTTCTATTTATTTAAAATTTTTAGAATGTTAGGTATCTGCACATAGATATGAGTCAGCGCTATCCAAGCTCAAGGTTAAGATAGTCTAACAGTTTAATAGTGCAGCAGACATCGAAAGAGCCAGACAGAATGACATCTGATCATCGTTAATTAGAAGATCTTCAATAAGCAGAATAAAACGCACTAACCGGTGAGTGAATGCATATATCATATTTGCATATTAATTGTTCATTTATTCAGATCGCCACGATTTAATGTCGTTACACCCTGCTTTGACGCTTCATAAAGACCACGAAGCAATTTAAAAATACGAATTTAACAGTAAAATCGATAAAGTAATAGCGTAGAATATTTCAGTTATATTGCAATAACATTTTAATATTGCAAATTTAATACGATACAGTAAACATATTGTGAAAAAAACAGAATTTAAAATGTAAAGTCAGTTTCAACAATATCGCAGAAAGTTTTAAAAATATTATATAAATATTACAACGTAATATTTTTAAATCTTAAACAGCATAGAAAAATTACAGAAATATTTTATTTCAAATTGTAATATTGCAATTACATTTTGCAATGTTTCCGCAACCGTTCTGAAAAGAATCAGCATATTCGACACACTCTTATCACCTTCTTTATTATTAGACAATGATTAAAACTTTTCTTGAAATGTATTATTGACGCACACTTTCTCGAACATCTGCATTATGCAAATCCGCCTGGATTTTACAACACATGTTATTCCGTGGCTCCATCTCGAACATATAAATCGAACTGTGCGGGAAATCTTATCCACGCTCTCTCCGGTGAGAAGATTCAAAAACAAGATAAATGTAGGAAAATATGGTGAATAATCGGACATTAGTTCGATTTGGGAAGTGCGAAGTACGTAAGTGAATTGCGAAAATCCATCGCGTGATAAATTATTAAGTAAATGAGGCGTTTGGAGCGGAAAACAGTTAAGTGACATTTCGAAAAAATTCCAATCAAGTGTTGATAATTAACGAGTTTTTTTCGAGAGATTTCTTATTTCCAGCGACCTATTCCAGTGATTTCAGTGACCCTCGTCATTTACCGCTCTTTTATTCTCATGTCAGTCTCTCAAATACCGCATCGTGTATTTCTTGAAGCGAACACGTGCACTTATATAACCTCTAACCGTCTATCAAGTCGAGTCGATTTTATATATATACCTTTCCTGAACTTTGCCGGTGCTTTTGGGTTCATTCTCTTTCCTATCTTATCGCATCCCACTACGGTATGCGATAACTTCTTTTGGCCGAATCGATTCTCACGATCAGTACGAGGTACGAGTTATCTTGTGTGACAAGTCGCTATGAGTGTGAACGTCTTAGGTGAAAATAGATTTCTCTGTTTCAACGTTCATCTATTTGCGCAATATTATTCGCCAACATCGGGCTAGATGTATGGTTTAGATTTATAATTAAATTTTGGAAGTGAGAAGTGTGTCAAATATTTTGATCCTTCTTTTAGATTAGCTCATCATAAGGTGACGTTAAAGTAAGAACAATGTGAGTAGGATGGTTTGCTTGCAAGTTTTGTGCATTTTGTTATCTCTGTCACATTATCTGTGTGTTATCTATAGTATAACTCTTGTGCAACTAATTATTAACAGTTACAGAGGTAATGTTGTATGGTTAAATATTTTTCTAACAGTTTACTCTTTTATATGTTGAATAATATATGCATATTTCAATAATGCTTAACAAAAGATTTATAAGATATTTATTACTCTTTTTAGTTTAAATGTTATAAAAAGTTTAAACCTTAAAAGTACACAATATTATTTCACATACTTCTGGAATTTGTAGAACTCAAGAATATGGATCAATTAAATATGAATATTAAGATTATATATGTATGCATGTATAAAATAATATTCATGTTTTATATATAATTTACAAAAAGATTTGTTAGAAGCTGGAAAGGTGTTAGATCTATTTAAATTACAAATTAATAAGGCAGGGGTTAGTATATTCAAAGCATTTAAGTAGAATGTGTGTAATTTAAAATTGATTCTAAATATTATACACATTTGTGTATTTAATATATGTGCTATTTGTTTTTTCTTTCTATATTTCTATTACATTATACTAATTATATGTTTTGTCACACAGGTTTGATACTGACAATGAAATAGAATATCCCCTGGAAGCAAAAGAAGAAGAGGATACCATGACTTGTCTGGGAAAACTAGTATTTGCGGACAAATATAGCAGACAATCATCGACTGCAAATGATTCATCTGAGGGACAAGTTAATTCTCTGTCACTTGCGTATGAAGATCTTTTCACAGTACCTTATAACATCATACGAGATTTCAGTTTTACTCTATGTCACTTAGATATTAGTCACAATCTGTTTAGCAGGTAAGGAAATGACATGGTATGTGAAGATTTGAAGAAAAGTATAAAATCAGTATCATAATACACTAAATCAAGATAGATTTTTTTACCAAATTTTTTTTTCAGGAATTTACAGTTTTTGTCAGAGTTTGAGAATTTAACATCTCTCAATTTAGATCACAATATGATAGATGATGTTACTGTGTTCCCATACATGCCAAATCTTGAGCTTCTTTGGCTGAATCATAACCGCATAATAAACTTGTTTCCCTTTATTAAGAATCTCTATTCTAGTGTACCAAACCTCAAATATTTATGTCTCATGGGAAATATGGCAGCGCCTAGTTATCTTAATGGTGGATCTTTCTATGAATATCTTAATTACAGGTATTTCAGCAAAAGTTTCTTTTAATTACTTCCTTTCTAAGTTACACAGAAACACAATTCAAGTTTCATTTATTATCTGTCACAAATTATGTTGAACTTTTTCAATAGGATGTTTGTATTATCTTGGTTTCCATACTTGATACACTTGGATGATAGGCTAGTGACTGAGGAGCAGCGAGTAGAGGCTAAAAGACTTTACAAACGACCAATACTTGAAAATATTTTTACACTGCCAGAACGCATGAAGGATATACATTTTCGTATGGCATTTCCTAAGCTATTACCACTTGACGGACAAAGAAAGCCAAGAGAATCAAATTCTATTATTTAAACAGTATTGAAGCGCAACTAAAAAATTCCTAATCATGATGTTCCTTCACAAAAGAAATGAGATTAATTTTTGTATCCATTAGAAACATGTACTATGAAAACAATACATGGAGCAATGTTTATAGTAATATATATATATATATATATACATATATATAATGACATAACATATAAGGGGGTAGTTTAATAACCACTTTTACTAATTCTGCAGGGTGCAGTTATACGAACAAAATTAAACTCATATATTAAATATATGTAAAATACTTTGAATGGTCAGTTTTATATTACCTCTGTTTTTTTATAAACTACACATCAAATGTGAATGTTATTTTATACATCTGTTAAGCAATATTTTTATGTATGGATGTATTTGATATTAATAAAACAAAACTATATTATTCAACTATTTCATTTTCTTCTTATTGCAAATCAAATTGCATAATGAAAAGAGAGTGCTAATGTTAATTTCAGTATAAATAAATATACTTGATAATGATCCAAATGCATCTTTGTTGCATAACAGACAGATAACATGAAAAATGCACGAAGATGATTCCGATCAATGCACAGAAGCAGATTATTGATTCCAAGGAAATTATTGGTTTACAACAAAGATCACACACGGTGTTCATATTCAGGATCAATAATAAAGCTTCTATGAGACATCCGATAGCTTATCGCGCGCGAGATTCACTTTTAGACGGTAACAATTACGAAATATACGAAACAATTTCGATTATAATCTATCGCGCATTTTCTGACCAATCGCCATGTTCTTGGAGTAATAAAGAGAGAAATAGACAAGTGCAAGAACGTAGCTAGGCCGAACAGAACTATTATTTACCGTGGTTGAAATAGTGATTTATTATAGAAAATATAATCGTCGTAGCTAATAATGAAACGAAACGTACCTCGTGCGTGATGATCGTGAAGCAGTTGTACACTATTGTACTTCGGCGAGAAAACATCGTGAGAAAGACGGAGGCAGCTCCGAAGACGCCAGGCACACGGCAGCGGGTCGCCGATACCGGTATCACAACATTAGCTATTGAACACGATACTTAATGCGTTACGACGAAAACTCGATATATTACAAAGCACTCGCGATAACTTCTTACGCACGAAGGTTCACTTTTAAACCGTCACGATCGCGGAAAGTACGGAGCGATACGGAAACCTGTCCATCCGTCGCGGCGCGAATTCATAACTGATCACTAGTCAAATATAAAAGCGGCGCTGTGATTGGTTCATTGTCTTGCAAGCATTTCTGTTTGCAAATTATAGATGGCTACTTGGTCGACTTCACTCGAGCCCGGCCAAACACAGCAGCAGGTTACCGACATCGAAGTTGTAACAATAGTGATCGTACACGATATCTAATACATCACGACGACAGTCTAGTACTTAACGATACACACGCGTTAACTTTTGGCTCGCGAGATTCACTTATAGACAGACGCAATCGTGAGAAATATAGTGCGACGAGAACAAATCCGTTCATCGCGGCAGTGAAGCCTCGAATGCAACGCGGCTCACACGCACACATACTTGAGAAGAGCGCTCTATGTATCATATGTACGCGGTTTCTCGATTGGCGCGTGAGAACCGGCGTCTGCATTCTGGGCTTCACTTGTCCATCGTGGCGCGAAATCGGGATTCACCTCTAATCAAATAAAAACGATGCTGTGATTGGTCGCTTGAGAAATTGCAAAGTAAACGATAGTTGTGACGAATCATTGAAGTGACGAAGCAGATTGTATAAAATCATTTATTAATCAGGTATATATTATAATTTATACAATATAAAAATTATCTATCAACATACATGTACTGCATACGTATGTAAACTACATTTTGCAATGCATATTACTGCTGCCTTTGTCTATGGTATAAAATTACGGCACAACTTTTCATTATTTTTATTATTTCTTATAATTAGAATTGCTTGAGAGTATAATTAGTGCTTCAGTTTTTTCAAAAAACTAATTATTAATTGTTCCTAAATTCGAAGCGTTGCAGTTTAATTTGATTTCTATTCTATACAAAAATAGGTATGAATCTTTTGATATCTTAAATAACCTAACTTATTGGAAGCAAAGTAGCTTGCATTAATTTTTCTTATTTCTTTTTGTATAGCGATCTAACAATATCCTGATAAGTGTGACCAGAAGTCTGTGGATTGTAATCCTTCCAAAGAGAAAGATTTATCTCTGGGAGTTCATCACATCTGCTAAGCGGATTGCTGAAATTTGCATAAGGAGTGATTGTTGAGGTTACCTTGATTTCGATTCATAAGGTAAGCTAGAAATAAGGTACGTGGTCAAACTTACGTTTCAGAGACTTGTAAAAATCCTGATTTTTGCATAATCTGAATATTGTCTCCATTGTCGCAAATCAGTCGCGAAATACTTGACTTCCGTAACTCGTTCAATTGTTCTGGAAACACAATAATATTTATAGGCAATATGTATACTTGAAATCATAAACCTATTTTACAATTAATTCGAAAAATTATTATTTAATTTAATTTTGAACATTATTTATGTTAACTACAATAATTGATATCTTGATATCATGTATTGATGATATTTTTTAGATTATCCAGATAATCAAATGTTAATAATGTTGACAAATTTGCTGTCAATCGGCGAACATTGATAACATTTTGTTTACTGGATATATAATATTTTTATTTGCGCTATTTAACATACCTAATGTGAATGCTACACTTGAATCGCCGGTCTCGAACCAATAACGATCACCAATTCGCGTTAATTGGAATTGTTTTAACATAATACATAAGAATGTTGGCCCTGAAAGTGTTCCGGGCACAAGCATTTCCAAAGATCCACCGACAGTTACTTCGACATCATCCACACTAACGTATAATGAGGCGAGTTTTTGTATATTCTAAGAAAATCAAATCCATTTAGTTTAGAAAACATTTATCTTTTTTATCAATTATTTATTTTATCTACCTGAAGAGATATATAATCGGCAAAGTCCGTGAAAGCCTTTGCCCGTGGTAATCCACAATATTCGCGATAATCGTTGTAAGATGCTAATCCGTGATCGCGATCTCTTTGTATATCTATTGCTCTCAAGTCAGATCCGAGGGCTCTTCCTCGCCTGAAGAAGAATTGTGTAATCTGCAAACAATTACTATTATTAATAAGAGCCATATTTTATTTTTAAGCACATTCAGAATGTTTTCTTGCTTTCTTTATTATTAAGACTTATTTAGGAACGATATTTGGCCCTCTATTTGTATTTATTTTTAATATTATTGTTACTGATTTTTTATGTCATTTACACATACTTCTCTATCGAAGTATACATCAGCCTGTTTCTGCGCTTGAGTACATAAACCTCTAGCCAAATCATCCAGGTTGTTGCCTCTTTCTATAATACCAGGTCTATTGAAATAATCGCTCAATCTCAGACTAGATGACGGGGAATATTGTCGACGTTCTGACACTAAGCTGTCAAATAAAATTTAGTATTTTAATTTTATTTTTACGACAAATTAATATCATAAATTTTTATCATTTATATTTATTGGATTAAAAATTTATGGAATTCTAAAAATATTTGTTACTTAGAATTTGAATTGCGATTACATTAATTGCAAATATTAATTTGCACAAAAAATTGACTTTAATATTATGTTAAAAATATCACAATAATAAAAACAACAACTTGTATGTAGAATTTGTATGTAGCAATCATTAAATACTAATTCTCTTTTTTCAAATGTTCACTTTTGTGATCATCTTCAGTGTTTTATAAATATTTATGAACTAATCGTTGAACTACTAATTAATTCATGGAATTTTATAACTTTTTATTTCCAAAAGCCGTTAATTTGTATTGTTTTTGAATGATTAGTTAATTCAATATTCTGTAAAATTTAGAAAGAAAATTACATGATTTTATTGTTCTTTGCTATCTCATGGTGTCTAGTCTAAAATCTTATAGATATTATTGCTATTGTTATAATCGAGAAACTAGTTATTCAATTAAAATAATAGCAATAACATCAAACAGAGATTTTATAGACCAGACATCATAGAACATCACAACAGAGAATAAGATGCAAAAAATCATGTATATATATATAATTTCCTTTTCAGTTTAAAGTTTACAGAATATCGACTTAATTAATTTAGTCAATGACATAATACAAATTGATTGCTCTTGAAAATGAAAAGTTGGAATCTCATGAATTAGTTAGTAATTCAACGACTAGTCTATAAGTATTCATAAAACATTAAAGATAATGAAAAAGATGGACCTAAACTTTTGAATAAAGAGAATTAATAATGATTGCTACATGCTTGTACACTCAGCTACTTCAAACTTTTGTTTTTATTATTATGATATTGAATATTTCTCGGTAGACCTATAATACAACAGGTATTTTGTATTAAAAAATAATCTTGAGATGATGATGTTATAATAAAAGTTGCCAGATACTTACTCGAGTCGACCAGCAATATTCGTATGGAAATATCTAAAGGCTGCATTTGAATGTTCATTTAACACGTGAGCAATAACTGTCTCATCGTAGTCATTCACGTAGTTCGCGGTGTTATACACGATGTTGTTATTCAAAATTTGTCTATCACCTGCAATGTTAATTAATTTATCTTCAAAATAAGAACAAGAACAAGAACAAGAACATTTTTATAATCTAAAAATTTCTATAATTTTGTAAGTATTATAATATGAGAAAAATATTGAAAGAAGATCGGTACCTAAGAAGATCGGTAACCATTCGTAATACGCGATGTTCTGATGCTCAGCGATTACAATCCGACGTGTTTCTTGAAATATCGTTTCATCAGTCCAGTGAGGATTTAACTGTGCCAGAAAATCGGCAACACGATTGTGTTCTCTGAGCAGTATAATTTGTAAAATCGTCAATTGCGGATTTTGATTGGCACGCATATCACCTAAAAAAATATTTTATGTAGCTCTTTGCTTTATGCAACTCTCACTTATATAACTCTTTTCAAAAATAATTTCTCGTTACGCTCGCTGAGTTAAAAACTGAATGCTTTGAATAAATACATAGTGATTAAATTACACAACTTTTATGTAAAAATATATATTTAATTTTACCGGTAGCATAGCATGGCTCAAATTCGTATAACACGTCGCAAATAGCGGTTTTATTAGGCGGCGATGGTGGAAATTCTCTATTATTTTTCAATTCAACATTCAAACGTCCACCGAAACCAGCTCGCAGACTAGCCGCAACTTGGTCGCTCGATCCGTAAACGATCGAAAGATCCAGATAGTTAGAGACGGTGTTCAGCTGAAAATAATTTTGTATTAGCCGTGTGAATAAATTAATTTTCTTAATTAAAGTCTTTAGATCTAAGTATAATTGCATTAATAATTGCAGTGATTAATATAACAATTAATTTGCTATTTATGAAAATGTTATAAATACATCGAGATCGAACAAGATTAGTGAACAGCTTAGAAAATATCCGATCGCGGATAAAAATAGATAGACGTCTAAGAATAACGCGATGCCACACAAGTTTCCGCTATTTATAATCGTTTAATATAGCGACATTTAATCAATGGTTACATTCTAGTTTTCTCGTTACCACACATCCGCGTGTGATGTAATCGTAAATGAATGAGTGAGATGCAACTGTAAAACCTGTTCTGCCGGCTTGTACGGAGACGAACAGCCACGATCAAGGTCGGTTGTACTACGGACAAAGTTCATGCACTGTATATGGGTGTTGCCGTACACCGGATCGTTGAAAGGTATGAGTATCGGGAAGCATTGAGGCATCGCCGCTGATTCTGGTATCAGCTGTCCGTTTGTTGTGCAACATCGTGTACCGTGAGGTTCTGCGATTACGCAAAAGAAATTAAAACGGATCGGCAATTACTCGCCACTGGAAAGTCGACTGCGACGTGGTTTATGTAAAAAAAAAGTGAAACATACTTGATTGAGTTGTGCCATCGATCAAACCCATGTCGTGTGTGATTATCTGTCCGTATTGCATCGCTGCCAATGTCCATAGATTATCGTTAACATCCGTGTCTGGGAACAATGTGTAGCTAACGAGCCGAGCCGATGGTAAATCTAAACCGGTGATCGATCTCGATGGTGCTCGAATTCCTGTGTTAGAGCAAATTTTAAGAGAGATATAAATTTTTTCGCAAGGCAGAAAAAATGCATCAATATTTTTTACGGATAAAAAAGTATGTGATAGTCATTTTAATCTGCACGATTATCACAAATTGAAAAGTCATATAATCCTGACAAGTCTATAAATTTTTGCATGTTTTTATAGCAAATCGTAGAAAGTGTACGCGATCTATATAAGTTTGGAAAAATCGAAAATCACGTTTAAACCAGTTTTAGTTACGTGATGTTATGGTTCGATTGGTAATATCTATCAAACATATTTGCAGTTATGTCCAAATTTACGTACATAGGTGAAATCTGTTGTCAGAATTTATGTCATAAGTGAAACTTGCTAATAAGAATAAATGAAGTGGCGTAGTAATAAAGAATTTCTTTCAAGAGTGATGCTGTAATTAGAACTTCTAAAATATACAGATAAAGAAATTTTAGAATTTTCAAAAAACTCTATTCTTAGAATAGTAATTTATCTCACAGCGCGGAAAAAATTCGAAATTTCTTTATTTTTATTTACGTAATTTTTAAAAGATTATAATATAATCTTTTAAATAATAATATAATGCACGAAGAAATATGTAGAAATTTTAGAAATCTCAAAATTTTCTTCCAAATGCAGATATGAAATATTAAATCCATATATATTGCGAAATACTGTAGAAATGAATTTTGTTTGATTGGACTCAATTAAATTGCTATAATTGAATATCTCATTTAGAACTATGTTCTGATCACGACACTCTAACTAGATGCTCGACGTAACAAAAATCACGAATGAGTGAACGTCAAAATCTTTCTCGCAATCAAGAGGTTACTTGTGAGCCTCTTGCATCAAGTTGATTATAATAACAATATTTAAAACGAGGAAACTTATTTACGCAGCGAGTGAGAATCGATATTATTTAGTATCTAGAGTCTGAGTTAAGTTTTTTCTTGTTATTACTTGAAAGTTTTATAAACTGCTAACTAGGACACAATATAGTTCTTTTTACGTGATTATTATCTCTGGCAAAATATCTAACAAAGTTACAAATTTTTTTATTGCAAAGTTTTACGCTTTTTAAAAATAATTTTATATGTTTTATAATAAAGTAGGATAGAAATGATTAAAAAATCACTTTCAAACAATATTTCTCTTGAATTACAAAATGTAAATTATATTGTCTTAAGTATATATTTTTTGAATTAAAGTTATCAAAAATTTAGTGAATACCGTTTGCAAGCTTTGGTATAAAGGTTCTCTTAATTAATTATATTGTGAAGATACAATATTTTTATTTACCATCACTGTAACGTGCACGTACGAGTCTTCCGTATCTTGTATTAGCCAGGCCCCATGTGGGATTTCGAAGATTATTACAGGAACCATCATAGCTTCGATATCGTGATTGCTGACAAGCTTGAGAAAAAGTATCGCCGCATCTAATTTGGTCATGAATACTGCTCAGGTTTTGACCAGTAGGGAAACTTGAATGGATAAATAACGAAAATACATATTAAAAAATTTATATAATTTTTTTATGCAGTTTACACATTATATTTGGTTTTAACTTACATGGTATTTGGGAAGCTCGACGAAGATGAAATGTACGAAAATGTCGGATTTGACGCATGATAAACAGTAGGGTGATAGGTATTGAGAAGATTTTTTTGAATTGAAAACGTGCCGTAGAACGAAGTCTCCGATGCCTCTAGATCTGAGAATTCTTCTTCTTGCTCTTGTATTATACATAAATTATAAAACAATATGATTTATTTGGTTATGAATTACGATAAATTTCTATTCATAATTACAATTATTAATAATTATGATTATTAACAATTACGATTATTAATGATTACAATTATTATTAATAATTACAATTATTATTAGTAATAACAATTATTATTAATTACAATTATTTTTAATTAATTATTTATTATTAATTATTATTATTAAAATGGTGAATTGCAATTACAATTTGTTGACATAGTCATTATTTTTAATAGCTGTCTTTAATTTTTTGCCAATATCAATTGCTCCTTCAATAGCTGCGCTATTACTTTCCTACGCAAGGCGATCGAATATACAGGACAGTGATTTATCTTACGTAAACATTGTATCACGCTCGATTCTCAGTGTAGGGCAAGACTTCCTTTCGTTTATCGTATTTGCTATCGGATCAGGCAGTAATCGCAGCTGCCGAGACGATCGTTGTAGATCGTTCGGCACATAAATCCCAGTAGACACGCGCGGTTTAAGGAGATCCGCGTGCGAGGGAGAACCTTTCACTATAACGTTAAATGTTACACCGACGACAGATAGAATCGATTCGCCCCTAAGCATCGTCATGCACGGTGAACTCATTGCGAGGACTTTATAAAAACATCTGATTTTTTTTTTTTGTTAAATTACTCAACTAGATTTTTCTATGCGTTTCCTCTCGAAAAGAATGTCCTACGGAAATGACGTTTTTTCGGCTAAATCGGCAACATAACGAACTGTGAGTAATACGCGAGATATTGCGCAAGCAAAATCTTTCACAACATTGAGTTCAACATTTAAATGTTATGCCGGCGACAGCTTATATCGTCACGACTCGATAATTTCCTACTGGAATGATGTTTACACAGCGCACAGTTAATACTATTAATATCAATATTATTTTTCACGATGAAAAATGTAACAACTTTCCTAGAACAATTTAATTTTAAAAGCTCGGGCTTGCTTTTATTCGTACAATGAAAAATTACTATATAAATTTATATAAATAAAAACAATAATAAAAGATTTGCTTTTACTTATACAGTAAAACGCTGACAGGAGTGGTCGAAGAATATTCATGCTGTTTTGCGCAGCAAATTTACACATGCAATTCGCGCGTGATTTCATGGCTAAATAGCTTCACGGGGAACCCTTGATTGCCTCGAGCAACCGTTCATTCGCTCGATGCATAAGTCTATATCACCTTCTCTCGAAAATGTAACGTGCATTCCAGCGGCGCGCAACGCGCGTGCGGATTTTCTATCTCACGAGTCATTTCTTGCTATTAACTCCCACCTGTTGCACAAGGAACGTGCCGCATATACGGTAACACAGTTTCTCCGTCTCTACGCCCTGTCTCCCGACCCGATTATTAGTCCTGTTATTACTATTAGAGAAAGCAGAGATACCAGATCACTAATAACGTTTCCCGTAAACTTATGTAAAGAAAAATGCAAAAAACGCGGATGTATGGACAAAATACTAAATATTCTTACCAAGCACGAAAATTATTCGCATGCGCAATTGGTTAACAGCGGAAATACAGTGCTAATATTACGCCTAACAACTTTGGTAATTATATGTAGTAAGTTTGTAACGTGTACTAATTTTAGAACACTTTGTGATTTTTATTTTCTAAAATGTAAAAATTTATAAGTTGTGTTAAAATTACTACATATAAACAAAGAATTGTATAAAACTGTGTCGGAAACGGTGAAGTAAATTGCGTGTACCCCAGTGAGCCAAATGTTAGCAATGTTGGCAGATTGACAGTAAATTCAATCAAATCTGTTGTCAAACTGCCAACATTACTAACACTTAGCTATCTACAACGTTTACGAAAATATCTTACATGACTTTTTGTCATATTTATTAATTCTGAATAATTTTAATTCAATAATAATTAGCATAGAAATTTCATATAATTTTTATGTAATTTTTCTCTGTTCGGAAAAGGATAGAAATTACCTTTATGTGATGGACTAATGTGTTTCTTTTTCGTGGCATCTTTGGCATTTGTAATTGTTAATGTTTGCAAAAGCACTGCGATGAGGAAGCTTGTAATCCAGAGACCATTGTGACCCTTCATATCGCTGAAATAAAGACATAAAGTCAAAAAATAAAGTCATATTTAGTTGAAACAATTTTTAACATTGCTTTAGAATTGTATATTGTTTAATATACGGCCGTTATTAGTATGTTTATAATCTAATTTATCCTAAATCATGCCGTACTCAGAAGTCAGCAATGTCCAAGTAAAAAGTAATACAATTTTGAAAGGATTTGTCACAAAATAATTTATTCGGCGCACAAAATTAGCAATATAGCACTAACGATCACTTTAAATTATTTAAATAGTTCCTAAAATATTATAAAATTATCGAGCGTTACGCAAACATTACACGAAAACTAACGCACGGCACGGTACGACTTCAGATTAACACTATCGTACGAGGCTAGTTAAGTAGCTGCTTTTATATTATGTTGGGTATATTACGTCTTAATGCATATTAATTTCCATGCACATTAAAAAGAGAAATTGACTTTGCGACACAATAAGACATATGGCATGAATATTATTGCGTTACCTTGGTACTATTTCCATATCTCATTTTGATACAGATGATATCTCTCGCGCAAGACGAAACATTGTGACTCTTTCACGTGTAATTGAACATTTTGATACGCGCAACAGCATAGATAAGTCGTATTTTTTTACATAAAACATTTTTTATATGTATTTGCGATAAGTGCATGCATAAGAAGTCGGCAGTATTTCGCACGAAAACTTTCTGACGCCGCAAAATGTTTGTATTCTGCCGCCTTGATATTCATCTTACTGACATTGCCAGATGATAACTCCATTTCCTATTAATGCATGGAAATCCAACCGCAATTGCGTTTACTTTCTGCATGCAATTTGCATGACTTCCTCAGCTGATCGTTGAGACGTACGTGCAATTTTAACCAAGTTCGTGAACTAGAATATACGAGCGGCTCATGTAAAACACGCATGGCGCACGTTTATTTTTACACTGTTTTTTATCATTCCGTTAATGATCGCATAAAACGATTTAAAATTAACTTTACAATTAATCTTATTTTGCAACATTAAATATATTTTTTTATCTGAAAAATTCAAACAATTGCTAATTTTAATATTATAATTTAATTCTGAAAAATGCAATTACAATAACAGATATTACAAAAATATTATTTATATATTTATATTTATCAAACAACACATTGTTTATTATTATTTTTTTCAAAGAATTTGATCAATTTTTATTACGTGCTGTTGCTGCGCAAAAACTGCAAAAGCGGTGGGGAAAATAACACATTAATTAATTTATACTGTGTTAACAGAAACTTGATTGCGTCTTATATTTCTTCAGTGATTAAATGCAATATAGACGCGATATTGCCATGTATTTTTTTATCGCACCGTCTACATTGCGCGCATACCATGCTTACATGCATGGAAGCGCGAAATAAGTTTCGACATGTACATACAATTAAAATGCGGCTTCGTAAGAATAAAAAGAACTCTTGATTGGTGCAACTCGACTTTGGGAAATGATTAGCGTTAAAATAAAATTAGCGAGAACTGAAACTGACGATGGTTCGGCGATAAAGTTGAGTTATGCTTTCGTAGGAAAGATGAATTTATGCTATATATTGCGACACGTTATGAGACAGCAGTTATTCTGTGGAAATTGTTTGTAAAAGTATTGAGTGACATTTGATTTACGTGAACAGATTAGTGACGCAATAGTGAAACTGTGACAATGTTTGACACAAGCCAACAGGTGACCACGAGTTGCCTGTCTCCTCTTACTCTTCAAGCTGATTTGATTTCTTATAACGTGGAGAAAATGAAGGACACCGTCGTTGTGCACAATCTATTTGGAAGACGAATATCAAAGTAGCGTGATTATGATAATGTTCGAACAGGTTTTATTGTTCTTCGCATTTTTATTTAGCAGCATTAAAGCCTTTATTAAATTATTTTACGCTCTGTTTGTAATAATTTAAGAAATAAAGTAAATCTTTGGAATTAATGCAACTGTTTTACAATTACAGTTTTGTAAATTATTTTTTATTATATCTTCCAGAAAGAATTTTCAGCCATTGTACATAAATAATTTTTTAGAAAATTTTAAATTATAATGTAAAATGTAAAAAAGGATATAAATCTTTCGCAGGTGAAGAATAATTTTAATAGATTAAAGATAAGTTTGAGATCGGCTTTCCATTAGTGAAATGTTTACAAAAAAAACAAGTTGCAACTTTCGATATTAGATCTTAGAAGTCCGCAATAAAGATTCAGATTAAATTTCCGTTAAAATAGCGTTACAGTCTCCGGCAGCTCCTGCATATTCCGCGTTACGCAAGATTCATCTCGGATCAGTGATGGGTTATTCGATATCGGTCTCATGCATAAAACATCCCCGAGAGACGCCACTGCGTTCGTTCTCACGCTGTATTTCTTACTTCATGCATTCACGTGGGACCGATGTCGCGCGAAAATCCGTTTAATCACATCGTGATTGCCTTCCGGTTGCGGCGATAACCTTCGCGCAGAAAGGCGCATATAAGGGATTTGCGTTGCCGCGCCCTGCTTTCTCCTTTATTAGTAACTGTTTGCACAATTCGCGATAGTTTATACCCCACTGGCGAAGATCGTCCGATTCTACTGCGAACAACAGTGATAATGCCGGATTCAAACGGATTTTTCTTATGGCGTAACATCCACGCACGAGAAATGAATATCATTTTCACGTTGAATATCTCGAATTTTACGAGCGAAGCTTTATAGAAGCGTTATAACAATTTTCTAAATGCCTCCATTAAATATTAATTGCATTGATAGTGATTAGATCAACGCAATTGATTTATTAGATTGCAGACTATTAAATTACACAGATTATGTCGCTAAGTGAGTTTCAAATTTACTGCAATCATGTGATTAAACGCGCAAGTTTCGAATAAACAATTTGGTCATGCTTGCACGCGCGAGGAAACCTGCGAATTTGCACTTAACGAGCAAGAAACTGTGAGGAAACTTGAAAGCGCATGGCAATTAGAGTTGAAGTTGATGTTAACGAGACGTTTGCTTGCGCTACCGTCATTTAAGATTTATCGCCGAAAATATATTATTCAAATTGTACGCATAATAAGAAGTTATACATAATTATATTAAAATACGAAATAGACGTATTAGATTAAAACATGAAATTAAAACGTACTTAAGTATTTGCATTTGCTTATTTTATGCTAATTGCACTCTATTCCCGTTTTTCAAGTTTGCGTGATACAGATTTCTTACGAGTTATTTAATTAAGAGAAATTGCATATTTTAGTTGCATAATATTGACACAGTATGACTATTATGATTTATATAAAAATTTATCTTGTTATTCAAGCAGAACACATTCATTATACAACTCTTTTTTCTTAGATCTGTTTTTAATGTATTGCACTGTATATAAAGTTGTACTTTATACGAATGTGAAATCCTTTTCCTAATATGCAAGATCAAGGAAGTTTTAGATATTCGTATATGGCGCGTAGATTTGCTCCGTTTCTTAAATCGCATTATTATTCGGAATTAAAGTACATTGAACATACGCAAGTTGTTACAGTTGACATTTTAGACGACGCACTTCCGTAATTATCAAGACACCAGAAATCAACAATTAAATAGTTTAATCAGAAACCTTGCCTATCATATATAGAAATTTTCAAGGTTTGATTGGCTATCGATTAAGGTTGTCGATAGATATTCTGAATACGTAACGCTTATAACAAAAGACAAGAACAATTACTCTATTACACGCTTGGCAACTTTGATCATGAATCGTAACGTGCATATTTTTTTAAACGGAAATCGACCTCTAACCGTAAAAAGAACACGATCATGAATTATTTTTGTAAGACTGATTTACTCGTTAAATTGACAAAGAAATTTTCAGAAGAAAATTAGAATTTTTAATAAATTTTTAATAAATAGAGTAATTTTTAAAGAGTTTAATAAAATACGATAGAATTAACATAAATAAAAATTATTTTTAAAAATTATTACAACATGCAACAAAAACTAGGAGCTTGTTTAGGCTTCCAAAAATGTAGTAATTAAAACTGAATTAAAATTAATATTATTTCGAAAATTCGGAGTCTTTTATGGTAGAAACATGTATATATAAACTTCGTATTTATTTCAGATAGATTAAATAAATTTTGCTTAATAAAAATTAAACTCACCAAAATTATTATTGTCAGTTCCTGTTTGATGCAAAGAATATCGAGTTTTGTGTGTTGTGCTTGATTTGGTTACAACCGGCGACAAATTTGCTCGTTTCGTGGAGAATTGTTCAAAGTAACGATTAAAGTCCGATGGCGATAATTACCGGATAATGTTTCAGCACGTGCTGACGGGAATAACTGAACTAGTCGCCGATACGAACCGAACTTTATAAATGCCGGGAGAAAGTGCAGGGACACTATACTTTGTGGACAATCCCTCGCTACTGAAAGCTCAATTCCGACATGCATAGATCGCAGATGAAGGTGTAACTGTAATTTATGATTTTCCATATGTGCAACTATATTTTACAAACTTCTCTTTTAATTAATTTGATTACCAACTAAATTTTATTAAAGATTATTAGAGATACTTCTATAATCTTTAAATTTAAATTTCAGAAAATTTTTTACTTATGTTGCAATTTGGTTTTTTTATTAATTAAAAATATAATTTGATTTGTTTAGCTTTTATTGACATTTCTGTCAAAATTTGAAAAAAAAAGGAAATTTTATTTTTATTTATGAAATAAAAAATTTAGGTATAATAATGATAGACGAAATGGACAAAAAATCAATCATTATTCTTGCTATTTTATTTATATTTAAACAAGTTAATTTAACATTAACAAATATTTTAGTCGTCTTATTCGACAATTTTGTGTCTATAACCTTTCTATCTAATATATGTTATTTAATTTAATTTAATTTGTTTATCTCTAATGAGAGAAAGCGCTTTTTTCTCAGACTGCCGTTAACTATACTTATTCTCTCTCTCTCTCTCAACCATACTTTTGACATTTTTCTATCTTATTTAAAATCACAATTTTTTAAATTATAAATAGAAGAATATAAATTAAATAAAAATTTTAATTAAACAAATAATTTTAAAAATAGCAAATAACATTACTATGTAATGTAATCATTACAATCGATTATAAAACAATGACAATACACGACGTTAGTAACTATAATATATTGACTGTACTTGGTTATATTATCAATCATTTTTTAAATATTGCTTATATTTGGTTATTAATTATTATTGGGTTAATAATAAGTATTGGGTATTATAAATAACTTTTTTTTACATGAATATTTGCTACCGCGGTAAAAGTGTTATTTTGTATTTAATTTAAACTATTGATATTGATCATATTTAATTATTAATAATTATTATGATGATTATTATTGGCATTATATCTATATAAAGAAAAATCTGGTTGAATCAATAGCTGATTGTAAATTAAGTTTATCTACGATAAAAAGAGAGTCCAAGTCATGATTTTAAGATAAAAGATCTAAATTTGGGAAAGCGAAGACACATTACGAAGAACGGAGTTTATTTGATTTCTAACCGCATGATTTGTTATCATAAACATTAGTTATTTCTTTTCTATGAAATTTATTACATATGATTCTAATCTTTTGCTACACATATGTTAAATTTTAACGTTTATTCAGAAAGTTTTAGAAATTTAGAAAATATTGTTTCTTAATCTTTTTAATAGATGATGTTGCAATAGCATTAGCTTGTTTGTAAACAAAAAAGTTATGTTTAGAAGATAAATATTTAAAATAAAAAACATTTTCTGATTCTTGCAAGTCTTTATATCGATCATACTGCCATGGGGTAGCTTTGAGTGTTTTTAGAGTTTCTAAAAATAAATATTTGATTAAAATAAAAAATAACAAGATGATCTAAAGGTCTTTTCTGCGTGGAATTAGAAATTGAATTTAATGGAAATATATCAGTGTTAATTTTTTATTCGGTTATTAACTACAAACAATTCGGTATAATTTTTCTCTTAATTTAATCGTAATCTTTGTAACGTACGTTTTGTATGATTAATGTTGACATTAGATAATAGTATACATATAATGTAGATACATCAATGTCGACTTGAGATCTTAAAATCGGCAAATTAGGAAGATACAATTACACAAAAGTGACAGTAAAATCCATAGAATAAAATCCAGAGAAAATAAAAATTTCATGCATTGGTATTAAAATTTCATGAGCTGAAATTTTATTTTAACGATACATTTCTTAGGTGACGTATTTTATTTAAAATTAAAAATCGTATTTTTATTAAAATTTTATAGCAATAACAAACTTACGTAAAAGATGTGTAAATATGTGCAGATGCGACATTATGTAAAAGTGCTTTCAACTAAATCATCTATAAAATAGAATACTGAACAGAGTTCATAAGTTTTAGATTCGTTAGAAATTTTTTATGCGATATAGACAATTGGTGATATAAATAAAGAGTAACATATATAATAAATTTCGGTTTTCAAACATAATTCCTATAAAATAGTATAAAAATAAATGTTCAATTTCTGTAATATTGATGATGAAAGATGGAAGTTAATTATTAATTAAATGTCGATTAGTATCTGACATCTTACGAAATCTTCTGATTCATTCATGTTGCCGATAACATACCTTACGCCATAAAGTGACCAAAGAATCGTGAAGTTGAACTATTTTATCGATTGCGGTAAAATATGAATATACATATAAACTAATTGCAAGTGGAAAAATATTATAATAAAAACGTTTTTAAGTAGAAACAATATATGTTAATAGATGTTTAGAAATTTAAAAGTAATTATTTGTTAAAATTATAAAAATGTATTACAAAAAGTTTTTGAGTAGAGAATAACAGTATATACATAAAAAAATTACTTATACAAAAAATTTCTTATTTTCTTATTTTTACAGTATTTTATATACAATGCCATATACAAACTTAAGCAGGTTTTAAATGGTTTAATATATATTTTTTAAATCCATTATATCGTTTCAGTTATATCGTACCATATATCGTTTCTTCGTGACAAAGCTATCTCGCTCCAGCAGTTTCTTACTAGTTCTCATACAAAAGTGAACGAAAAGAGGGAGTAAGGAATTTACTACAGCGCTTTAAGGCAGTAATGTAACAAGTCTGCCGATACCCTGCGTAAAAATTTTTATTCCACTTACATCTAAAATTTTAAATATTCTAATATTTTTCCACTAATAACAAATTTATTTAGATTTAAATTTACTATTATGGACTAATACTACAGTGTTTATAAATTTATTTTTAATTTTAATATCATATGACATTCTATTTACGAATTCTGGATCTAATTCTGGAATCTGTAACCACGCGTGTGTCTTACGGAGCGGTTTTTTTTTGGGACAAGTTTTGATGCCGCTTCACGTTACTGACTGTCGAATGGTCGACATGAAGGGCAGGCTTGACTTTCATTAATTTATTTTTAACGTTTGTACAATGATGTGTGCAGTAAAACATATAAAGTGTTATATATGTGCTTTTATTTGTACGAACAGTCTTTTGTGCATTAATTCTTAACATTAACATATTGTGCTATTAAAAATTTTGCTTTCACTACCTGTAAATTTATAATATTGCAAAAAGAAGGTAAGTACTTTGCAAATGTAATAATTTAATATTAATTTGTATCTGCACAAGCACGCAAAGGTGCTATGTGCGGTCGATTCTGATTAATTGGGATACATCATTTTGGTTCAATTTAACTGCTGCCTCAATTATCCGAACACTGATTTTTTATCTATTGAGATTTGTTTTTTAAGATTTGTCTCAAATAAACGGCTGCTCCAATTAACTGATGATCCTGTTAATCGGAATCGACTGTATTATATATATTAATATGAAATCGTTTTCTATAGTAAAAATAATTTTTCTGTTTGTATAGGCTTCAAAATTACACGCCTATATATATAGCATATGTATATACATACATCCATCCAAAATGACTCTTACATTCTTTAAAACTCTGTCAAATCTGCAAATGCAAATCAACATTTTTATCGACGAAGTAGACAATGTTGATTATCAATATAAAGCGGTCAGGCTTGAAAGCTTCAAAAATTGGCCGATAACATACATAAAGCCTGAGAAGCTTGCGGCTGCTGGCTTTTATTTTACAGGTCAAGATGACAAGGTTAAATGTTTTGATTGTCGTTTAGAATTATACAAATGGAAGGAAGGGGATGATCCAATGATGAATCACAGAAGTTTTTCCCCCACGTGCAGATTTATTTGCAATGTTCCTTACAATATATTAGTTGACTTCGAACTCAGTACCAGTTTATCAAAGGACAAGGAAACACAAATACTGACAAAGGAAGACACAAATGCTTCTGGATTATCCAACATGGAACGTGATTGGTTTACGAATAAATTAGAAATGGCCAAACATCCTTATTATTCCATGTATTCACTTCGTCTTGACACTTTTCAAAACTGGCCAACTTCGAAAACGCAAACCAAGGAGCAGTTGGCGGAAGCGGGATTTTTTTACGCAGGAAACCATCAGAACAACGATCACGTATTATGTTTCTATTGTGGCTTAGGCTTAGGTGATTGGCAAAACGGCGATAATCCTTGGAAATTGCACGCTTTATGGATGCCTGACTGCTTTTATTTACTTGAAATTAAAGGTCAGGAATATGTGAACAGTTTTCAGATTTCCGAAGAGTCTTACTTAAGACAAATTGTGAGTATTTTTTGTTATTTATTTTATATACTTGAGATCATCTATTTCTAAGATAATTATTGTTATATTAAGGAAACGCAGCTGTCACAGGACATTGAAGCAACGTCATCAGAATCGGCAATCAAAGAGAATTCTGGCTCTAATTCTGGAATCTCCAACATTTCTAGTGATGTGGAAAGTATGTTACGTAATATGTCGACATTGTCAGTTAAAGATAACAGCAATATTACAAAATCATCGCATACAAAAACGAAAAGTTCTTCATCCATTGCTGAATCCACTGAGAAGTTGTTGTGTGAATTTTGTTATGATAATAAGCGAGACATAGCGTTTATGTCGTGCATGCATATAGTAGCTTGCTTCAAATGTTCGAAAAAATTTGAGATATGTCCTATATGTCGTCAAAAAATATTGTATAGGATGCCAGTGAAATTAGTATAGTATCTCGCTACTGGAATTTTTTAACAAAGATTTAATACACGGAACTGACTTCTTTTCTCTTAAGTTTTGCCGTACACGAAAAAAAATTTTCGTGTACGGCAAAAACACGACAAATTTTATGCTGTTATAGCAAAATGTCGCTGAGTATGGATAGCAAAAAGAGATTTGTTACAAATATTATTTTTTAATTTTTTGCTAAAAATAATATTGCTAAATCTGCAAATGATGTGACTATTGTAACAAATTCATTTCTATTAGTAGCGATAATTTAGCTGCGATAGCAAAATGCATTTGTTAGAAATAGATAATTTTACACCAGGAAAATTAATGTTTTTTTGCAAACAATTGTATTAATTGTAAGCAAAATTCATTTATTCTGCCAATAAAGATTTTGCTAGGTAACAAATTATCTGAAAAATTATTGTAATGATTATAGTAATGATTATAAATTATGTAATGAAATTTTGTTGCTATCAATATGTAATAGCATATCGACGACGATTTTGTTTGTACAATAACAAAATTTTTTTTCGTGTGTTAGGATTTTGGACATGAAACAAATATCTACATAATCATTTCCACATGATGCACTTGATAAAATTAATAATTTATTCCCATACGTTGCTGTTTACAAATTTCTCGCAGTTTTGTGTAAAGTAAACATGTAATTATTTCAATTTCGAAAGACTGAATTACAAATATTCATGATTACATTTTTATAAATAGAAAAGTTTTAACAATTGTGTGTGTAAATTTGTAATAAACTGACGTCTGAATAAATATTTTTGGCAAATATTGTGCAAGTCTTGACATAAAGAACACATCCTTCGATAACACCGTCCAAACGTTCGGACAACGTTTACAGAATATATCGATATGTTACCGTATAAAAAATAAGCTGTTTTAATATATCCTTTTGTTATATCTTATGACGTAAAAACCACCAATCGTTCGTTCAATAAATTATTGCTTTCAGTTATAGCTTCGTTTTATCCACAACTCGATTTATTTCAGACAGTGAAAAAAATGCATTACTTATTTTCGCAATTGTAATACTTCGTGTGCTCTCCTCGAACATCTACATACATTTCTTTCTCTCGTATTATTCATATTTGTTGATGAAATCAATATTCATTGATAATCAATATTCATTGACCAGATACTTACAATCTTGCATAACGAGGAACAATATTGCAATGATCGCTTAGGTATATATCTAATATATAAAAATTGTACCCACTTTATATATATATAATCTAAATCATCACAAAACTGATAAGACGCTAAGTACTTTAAACTTAAGCCTCGACTCAACACAACCCTCTACGTAAGCGTAATACGCCGATAATATGCACTGTTAAACATCCTCCGCGCACATACATCTCCACATAGATACACGAGACTATCTACAAATACGTCTATGTCAGACTATAATAATATCAGATCGTCGCGAAATGCAGTCCTGCGAGCGAAATTAATTGCAGAGTGACGAACCCTCAATGCGGTCTTTTTAACAATTGAGACTCGATTGGTAAATAGATTGTTTGTCCGCTCATTCATCTGCAACTCGATTTTGCATTCGCGCCATTTAATTCTCATTCCAGCTATTAGATATTTTCTTAATCGACTAGTCACGTGATTTCACCGTTGCTCTGCTTCGTATTGCCTCTTGTCATGTTTCATCGTGGGTGAGCGCGACGTCGTGTGTCGTGATATCGCGCCGACGATTCTGATGAGACCATTACGTAGTCTCACACAATCGCTTTTCCCCGAGCGTGCACTCGCTCTTGCACTTTCCGTAAGCCCTCTTCCTCTCAAGCCCGCACTACGTCTACGGGCGAACGGACGCAATTATTGTTTGTGACCAGCCAATTAATTAAAGACTTCAACGATACGCCTTCGCTCGCTCCGCCCAGGCGAAGAGATCCACGCTGGGTATCGCCTCGAAGTCTGTGCAGTGTCTCAATTCGTTCCTGAAATATTAGAGAAACCGTGCTAAGTAAATGCGCAATTAATTGCAAATATTTGAAGAATTAAATGGAAGTACGAACTTACCCGCCCTGCGGCTTGAGAAACACGTTACGCTGCATGTGCGTGATGTCGTCGCCGTTGTCGCAGAATATTCGCGCCAAGGTGACGTTACGCAGTTGAGTCAATTGTTCTGCATTAAAAAAAATAATTTATTAGACTCGAAAAAAACATTACACAACTTGAAATATGTAAGATAACACATAGAGAGAAATCAGCGTACCAAGTGTAAAGGGATGCGGTTGCATCGCGGAATCGTAGAAGAATCTATCGGTACGCCGAGATCGGGAGAACTGCTCGTAAATGAGACAACGGAAGGTCGGGCCGACCATACCATCATCTGCCAATCTCTCCGCCATACCGCCCACGATGAGATCGACGTCGTTGGGATGGGAATAAATTGTACGCAGTTTCTTTACCATCTAATAAGAGCGATAATCACATTAGCGACTTATCTTAAAAGCGTCAGATGTGAGAAAGGAAGAGTCTTCAAATCTTACCTCTGAGGGAATATAATCTAGGAAATCCTCGAAAGTCTTGGCGGCGGAAAACCCACAGTATTTACGATAGTGATTGTACCCAGGGAGGCCATGATCGCGGCCACGTTCAATGTCCAAGCTGATGGCATCCAAGCCTAAATCATTGCCGTTGCTGGTGTACAGCTTGCTTGTCATCTGCAAAAATAACGATCACGTTATTGCAAAAAGTTCTACATAAACCAGTATTTATATGAGGGACAAAGTGCTATACTTACGTCTGAAACGAGACTGATGTCCATTTTCTGGCTGGTCTGAGTGGCGAGACCACGCACCAATCCATCGAACACCTCCTCCGACTCGATCACGCGCGGATTAAAGAAGTGCTCCGCCAGCTGTAGAGTTCTGTTCTGCTGGCGAGAGTTATCCGGCAGACTGCAACGAGAGAATCATTCATATCTCGCTATATATTTTTACTCCGCGGATTTCTGTAGAATTTCTTTCCACCTCTGACACTTACCTCAGCTTTTCTTGCATCAATGAGTTCAAGAAACGCAGAGCCGCGGTGGCGGCTTCGTTGCTGACCGCCGGTTCGTCGTCAGAATTATAATTTTGACTGTAACCATTCCCTACATTGTGATTGATGGCTCGAGCGTATCTTTTGCCAAGCAAAATTGGCAGCCACTCCTTGTAAGTGATGTGTTGAACCTCGGCGATCACGATGCGCCTTGCTTCCTGATACAAAATCTCGTCCGACCAATTCGGATTTAATTTGGCAAGCTTGTCGGCGATGCGATTGTGCTCGCGATGCCAAATAGTGTGGATCACAGCTAATTGAGGTTCGATGTTCACGCGTTCGTCACCTGGCAGACACGAATTTATAAAAATAAAATAATATATGGCTCGCGACGAAAGATGATGATGATTGATGTAAAATAGAATTGACGCTCACCGGAATTGTAGCAATTCTCTCCGCATGCGAGCTCGGCACCTTCTCTCGGCAAGTATGCGCGATTGTTTTTCATGTCGACGCGCAGACGTCCGCCTTCAAACGCGCGAAGCTCGCGGGATTTCTTTAAAGTGGATCCGTAAATCGCGGAACCGTCCAAGAAGTGGCTTACTTGGTTCATCTGCAAATAATAAACGAAAATTATATTTTATAATGATTTGTACAATAAATCGCGATTTAGCTTCAATTCAGCAAACTGAAGTTCTTAGAAAATTTTATTTTTTTATGCTTTTGTTGAACAAAAGCTAAATTCCAGCATCCTTGAATCTGAAATGTAATCAATCACGTACCTGTTCTACAGGTCCGAAAGTGCACTCAGATCGCAAGACAGGTAACGAACGAACGTAATTCATGCACCGAACATAATGTTCGCCATAAACGGGATCGCGATCTGGCACGCTGATAGGAGAACAATCCGGATGAATGTGACGCGGGGACAAGGTGTCTCCATCCGGCTGACAGCAAGAGATTGGTTTTCCATTTGAGACTGCAATTAAAAAATAATTTCCTTAATGAATTATGTCGACGAGAATTGCCGGCAAATCTACTGCAAGAAATATGGCCTCAAGCTTTCAACAATAGAATTTACTAATGGCTGTAGTGACAAAATAGAAATCTTCCAAGAGTTCATATTACGCAACATGTCAACTTATGTAACAAGAAATATATATTTCCCATCATTGAAATCTGCTTAACTGCAAGACTATAACGAATGTTTAAACACTCGCGCATCTTTTACGTAACAAATGAGAGATTAATCGAGCTGTGCTGATTAAAATTGGCCGACTAATTTTACGCACGTAGATCTACTTACTCATCTTGCGAACTGGGGTGTAGGCTAAGTCGTGAGCGATGAATTGGCTCCATTCCATCACAGCCAACGTCCTGCTAGCGTCCGATTGATCGTTCGCGATGGACAAAGCGGCGCTTACGAGCCTCGGGCTTGGCAGTGCTTTCTTTGTTTGTCCGACATGCCTCGGTTCTTGGATGCCTGCTTCCCAAAATGAACATTAGATCTCTGTCGCGTTGACGTTTGCAAAATCGCAAAATCGGAGTAAATCGGTGCTTAAATCTTCGATACGTGGTGCTTTCGCCGAATGGACGCGCGCGAGATAGAATAAATCATAATTATGTATATCAAGTCGCGTGAGCAAAATCATAATGAGAAAACGATACGATTTCGCGACAATTCGTAAAAGCTGTGATAGTCGCGCGGATGGAACATATACAAGCCTCGTCATTGTGATTACTCCGATTTTGGCGAGTTTAATTGCGCGCTTGCTCAAAAAATGGTACGCGTGGCAGTGCAGCACGAGAGGAAATCATGGATGATTGCATAAATATTCTCTTCTAGCTATAAATAGGCGAGTGTACCGCCGGCTGTGCTAGTCTTGAGATCCTAACTGCGCCTATACCTGCCTTGTCCGCGCGATAAATTTATCAGGGAACGATCAGAGAGGATTAATTTCGTTTGCATCGCAAACGTATTCGAAACGGATCAAAGGCTAAATTGTCGCTAAAAAATTACATTTTTCATTCGCAGAGGAACTTCAAGTTCATTCCCGGCGCTGATCGGTCCCTGAAGAATCCTAAATCTCGTGCTGCAAAGCGATATAATACGATTGAGTATGACATCGACTTCGACGTTCTGATGCGTTGTCGAACGACGAGCCGTTTGTTGCCGATGACGCGATTGTGAAATTGCACCTCGAAATAACAGCACGCGGATGTGATCGATGCTCTGGCATCGAAATTACGGCCGCTCGGATCGAGAACGCTCGCAGAAACGTCCCGCGAATCTTATCTATAGATGATCGATGAAGGTGTTCGAACGAGCGAACCGAACTGGGAGAATGTTCTAAGTACGATTCTAATCTCAAGTGTGAATTGGAAATTGTAACGCGGACGTGTGGCGAAGCTGTTAACAATTTCTATAAACAATTTCGATGATATTGTTAAAAAGGTGAAGTGAGTTCAAGCAATGTGGAAGAAAAATTCTGCTTAACTAACTATAAAATGCACGTTAGAAATAATTCTACTTCACTCGATGACATTTATCACATTGCGAGTAAAAAATTAATCAATTAATGTTAAAGCTATCTATTGATTAGATCACGCACTCCCAAGTCGAGTCCCCTCGATCAGGCTACCTTCGAGAGAGCCGCGATATTTCCGCATAATTGAACAGAAAAGAACTCGAACTAGTGTTACATAATAAATATGATACATTATTAGGTATATCCGAATTAGTTTACATACACATTCTATTGCTGGATAGAGAATCTCCCGACCGGGGCACCCTATTGTAGGCAGTATTATTCACTGCTACACTCAGGCATTTTATGCTCTATGTGCCTTATCGCACAACTGTAATGCAAATCACAGAATATAATTTGTTAAGCCAATCGACGAACGTTTATCCACTAGCGCCCAGGGATCAGTGTGCGTGTATACGTTTCTGTATGTATATAAACGTGTAATGTGTGTATGCATGTATGCATTCATGTTAATGTACGTATCGCGCGCACACACGCGTCAATGTGTAATGCGGAGGTGTCGTGATAAGTGAGGTAAATGGGTTAGTAGATCGAGGTTGGTGATAGGACTGGACATCCAAGACGTTGTTTCGCGTGGATTAAAAAATCATAACGAAAAGCGGCGACTTCTAATCAACAAACTCTGAACGATATCGTAATTGGAAAAAAACGCGCCGTGACGCAAATCGCATAAGAGATAATCGCAGATCAAGCTATTTGCAAAATCTTTCATGCGTTATGCTTTATCGAATCAATGTTACGAGTTCCGCGCGGTGTACACGAACTTTAACACTTAATAATATTGCGCTATTTATGTCTATCTTAGAACTCACCGCGCGATATTACAACAAAAATGTCGATTATCTTGGATATTTGCTTCCTATGAATGCGGTGACTGAAACAGACTAACTATGTTTCCATTTTACATATAATATGCGCAAAACACCGAATTCATCTGCATTTGATATTCTTAAATTAATTGAAAACGTATAAAGTATATACTCTTGTTTTTAAAAATTATAATGCGTAAATTTTTAATGAAAATTCTATTTTAATCTTTTCTACTTAATCAAATGAATTCGTCGTTTTATCCTGATGTTCATACTACATTAGAGAGATACAGACAAACAGTGGTGAGTCCTAACTAGTAACAATCAGTATCCAACTCTAGAATATGAATCGATATAATATTGATTTTAATGCATTATAATTTTTATTTATTCAGTTACTTTTTTCATAAAATATTAATTCTTTAATATAATCCGTATTCTAGAGTCAAAGTACATTTAACTGAACGCTTAATTGTGAATTCTAACTGTTTTAGAAGTTTTAAAACGAGTCTACTACATCTTGAAAAGCGCGCGAAACGCAGAAGCTAAAGTGATACATCAACATGAATGACATTGACATAGCGCGAGGAATGCAATGTGTCGTTAGGCAAATTTTTGATTCCAGTAACGAGAAGCTCGGGAATTTCGTGAGTCTGCAGAAAGGGGATACAATAATCTCAGACTTTATCTGACCCGAGTAGCTCGAGGTTAAAAAAACACAAACTACATCCGTCTTTTATCTGCGTTATTAACTGCGTTATCAACAGTGGCATATCCATTGTCCTTTTGTTGCGACTGCTGTGTAAATAGCAGGCAGTATTGTTGTCACACTATTATCATTGTTTCTAATTGCCATTCCCGAACAAAAATGTCTTGAAAGGATGACTAAACGGCTCAAACTTTTATCACCACGTACACGTTTCACGATGACGCATTCCCATCGCTACGTCTTCTCGAAACGCGCGTGACATCTAATAAATATGCAACTGTGAACGAGCGTCTTGTAAAATAACACTTACCTAACACCGGCTATTATCGCGATATTCGCGGTAAGTATTCTCAATACGCGTAAACAAGATAAAAATCGCGGTAACTTTCGATTTCTTGTAATCGCAATTTTACAATTCAGTACAATCTTCTATTATCCGTCATAACATGCAATTTTTATTTCCTGACATTTTTAATTCGAGAGACTCACATATTCACGTTCACAATTGCGATTCGCTTTATCCAAGAAATCTCATTTCGTTCAGAACTGACCCTATTGCGGGGGAGGGGGGGGGAGAGTGATCCCCCGAAGGTGGGACGGACATTGGAATTGTGTAGGAGAGGGAAAAGCGCTAAAACGTTCAGAGGCTGCAAATAATTGTACGATTATTATTCCACACAGAATTAACGACAAAAGTTTTACGATAAAGTGCGCGTTCACACACAAATCGCTCCATCACGAAATTACTTCCCGTAGAAAAATCTCGAAAGGGGAGTTGATATGCGCGCGGGGACTGCTTGCGGTCCACGAACAGGTGTATCGAAAGTATAATGACGCGCGATTAGCAATTAATTCCCTACGTATGGCGACGGTGGATATGCAATTCAAGCCTGGACGAGAATGATGAGAGAACGATGCCATATCGCGGGCTAATGTCGTTGACCAATAAGGGAGAGAAGGGCTAGAGAGAAAGGGAGCGCGATTCGCGATAGGAGACACTCTTACCGTCGAAGTATTGGGAGAAGAGAACTCTGGTGTACGCGGTCATCGCGCTGCCCCAGCTCGGATTCTCAATGTTATTGCAGGTGCCGTCGATGCTACGGTACTTCGCGGTTTCGTCGCATTCCACGCTATGCACCGCGGCACAAGACTCACCGAGCGGGGTGCCCTGCAGCCCCAACGTCGATATATAGCGGGCGCAGTCATTCTTATCTAAACCGAACCTGTAATCAAATCGTGCGTTGACAAGAAAACGGCAAATTGGCAGTTCTATGCAGTAGTGAAACTAACAATAATGAAGTGCTGATGATTTCGACGGCTAGTCGAAAACAAAAATCGCTAATAAACATTTAATTAGTTGTTGAAACAAAACGTACCTTCGGCAGTTTTGATGTACGAGATACGACGATGCCTTTGTAGCTACGATAGCATCGATGCCCCTTTCAAACGCGTCTGTGGAAGGATAGGAATTCCAGAACTGTTTCTGAGCTGGACTGTGATCCTTGAGTGCAATACCAGCATTCGCGATATTTCTCTCGAGAGTGCTCATACGATCGATCAGTGTCTGCGCGAATGTGATCGAACTGTTCAGAGTCGCTCCGTCGATTCGGGGGAATCTTTGGTTTTGGAAATGACCCGTGTCAACGATGGCCTCGGAGCCGTAATTAGTGGCTGGCAGTCCTGAAAGTGTATCTTTAAAATATCACGGGATAAAGAACGGGATAAAGAAGAAGATTAGCAACAGTTAAACAAAACAAGATGATATCATGAGACACAAATACCGTGATGTGCAATTAAAAGTGATTTCTAGTAAAACTTTCGAGACTCAACTCAGATCTTTGTACCGAAATAAGCAAGTCGAAATGAACGTTGCAACACTATCTGGACTATTTCCAATTGTCGTTAAATCGACGCGAGTCCAAAGATAGACAATAGAATAATGTTGAAACAACGATAAAATTGCAAATTTTTTTTGTCTCATTTCTTCTCGTCGAATATATGAAGTCCTACAAAGCGAATGATGTAACACACGGTGTTTAAAAACAGATCGCAGAGGCGCGGTTCTAATCGGCTCCATTAGCTCCACGCTAATTTCCACCGCGATTTTGATTGAAGTGTTTACGTGAGCTAAATCGTCGCTAAAATTGCCTTCGACCTTCCTCTGCTTTACGGCGTGAAATTTACGCCGCGCCATAAATGCAATCACGATAGGTACTTACCGGTGTAACTGGCAAGATAATTCTGCAAGGACTCGGGCAGCTTGTACGTGCCGATAGAATGGGAGTGTCCCAGAAGTCCCATCGTCTGCAGGGACATCCAGAGGATCGCAAAAGTGGCAACGGAGCCTGCCATGACACCGCCGGCTGCACAAAACGAAATGACTGACTAATAAGATCGTCGAGACGCGCTCTTCTGCATCCTAAACACGTGACTCACACGTTTGCTCTAACCGTTTGACGCGCTGTAAAGAGAGCGAGATAACTCCCCGTCGCAAATGAAAATGTATTAATATCGCGTAGCTCGGAAAGGATGTCACCGCGACGCGCTTGGCACTCTTTCCGTTAGCAGATATCGTACGTGCGCATGCATAAGGTGTTCGCTGATTAGTGATAAATTAGTGATGACTCTTGTACTTGTTTATCAAATATTTTTCTTATCGCTGAGTAACATGCTCGCGTATTCATTATTTTGATTAGATGTTAATTTATTCCTCGTTTCAAATATACGCGTTAATTTATTCATTGTTTTTATTGCAATTCGGTTAACAGCCTAGAATCTAGTCTTGCATCTGAATTTAATCTTTACACGAATCTGATGCCCCTAGTATTTGTAAATTCTCGCTGCTATACATTTATCACATGTGCCTGATAATCAGACCTTGACTTTTTATCTCATATTGACATTGAACATTATATTTTATATCATTTAAAAAATTCCAATTAAATTTAATCAAGAAACGGAAAGTTTTAAGAACGGAAAGTTAATATTGCATTGATAAGTTCTACGATAATATGTTTCTGATTTTTCATTTGATTGATTATTTAATCATCCATTATTTAATCATATAAAAACATTGGCTTAGCACATCCAAGCGCGCCCACGTATACGTAAACTTACGCTTCGAAATAGATTTCTATTTTCTTATTCGTAGTATATGAAAATACACTTTGTGTTCACGTGCTCGTCAAGTGTTATTAATGTTTTTACTGGCGAATTAAAACGTCAAATACTCCGCAGAATTTGCCGAGATAATGAAACATTGTTATTCAACCTTATCTTTGATGTATTCTCTCAGTATATACATCACAGATGCAATTAGATGTAATAAAAAAAAAAAACAATGCAATTTATATATAATATATACTATATTTTTACAAGTACATGGTACAGTACGCTTCTTACAAGACACTCAAGTTATAAGACGCGATGCAATATCAAGGTAAACGAATCGTCTGACCTCGATGAATTTGCAACGAAGTGCATTTGCATCTTACATTTTGTGAAATGTGAGCACAATTCTATCGATAAGTATTCTATCGATGTATTTTCAGGTGAAATTTTTAGAATTCAAAAACATATAATAAATTAAATACAAAATTGCAAATGTAACGAAGATGCATCTTATGGAATGCATTGCCAAATTTAATGTGCATTCCGTTATATTGATTCATGTATTTTGTTTTGAACATAAATGACATATTCTTTAGCGTTTCGTCATAACCTCTTCGTAAATACTGTCGGCTATTTATAGATTCCGTTTTATCGAGAATATTCAGTAAAATGGTATGTACGTCTGTGTGTAGTTTCTGCTCGTATTTCATTAATGCGGTAAACAAGCATTAAGCTTATCATGCAGACACTGCGCTTTTCTGTATATCTATAGCGAGTTTCAGTGAGACAATAAGAGTTCCAAATTTCCTCCCGTCCGATTAAAATTATCAATTCGAAAATATCAATTCGATCAGAATCAGATGATAATGACCGTTAATTAACTCGTTTTAATTAGAAAACAGATAAATTTGTTTTGCAGTTTCCGCAACTTCCTGAATAAGATAGATCTATGTTTACACTTTTTTGAGATTTTTTAAATATAATTATACTTTAAAAATAGGCTTAATAAATCTTTATAATCTAAAAAACGACTGGTAGAAAAACCATCTGAAATGTGAACGGCGTGAAAAGTGAAAATGTGAAAATTATTTAATTAAACAATAATTTAAAATATATAATATTATTATTTGTGATGTTTGATTAAATTTACTATTTTAATTAAATTCTGTTTTTTATTAGAATTGGTGTACTCCGATTCTATTAATATACCACAGCTGTTGGCTGTTGCAGTCAATCAATATTTGACCGGTATAATTAAAAGTCTGCAGCAAAGCTATTTTGAGAGATTACCAGTGATTATTGAGAACGAAATATTTTCATATGAGTCGATATATATATATTGACATATGACTTGTATGCAAATTGCGGTTGCGCCGCATTGACGTGGAAATCTTTTCTATGCACATCGCGAACAACAAATTAACACTTGATTGAAAATGCAGACGTGCACTCGTGAGACGCGTGAACAGTAAGACCCGCGACGCAATGGCGTCGCTAATGTTAGCATATTCTGGTAAACAGATTTAGTCGCTCGCTATGAGAAATGATTAGAGGAAGAAAAACAGTGTTATCGCTATTTTCCTCGGATACATTTGATACGTTCTGACGGAATTGATGGAATTTGCCGTGTTGATGATTGCCAAGTGTGTTTATAAACGTACGTTGTAAGCGCAATTTTTCACCGATAATGCACGTTCCTTATCGATACTCTCCAGTCAACATGCGTGTTTTAAAGAAACGTCACAAAGACGTCTGAAAGAAATGGCACGCATTTTAGACGTCTTGAAGAAATTTCTTTAAAACGCGCGTCTGTTGTCTAGATTCTAGATGCATCTCTGACATATCATTATCATTACCGGACACATGATCCATAGGCTTCTCCAATCCGTGCATCGCGTAGACCCAACGATTATTGTCGACCGGTGTTACGAGAAACATTCTCCGACGATGCAGCCAGCTGCAGCGACGAGACCGCGGTTTTTGGACGCTAATTAGTTGCTAACTAGCTTGCCAATAAGATTCGCGCTCGCCCCTTACAGTTCAGTTCTCTTTGCTTCTAGTCGCGCGATCCCGCCGGTTCTAAGAGAGAAACGAACGGAAAACTCACACGCAAATTTCGCGACGATTTCACCTCGTCCGTACCGTAGTGCGTACCGGAGTTCGTTAGCACACCTGCGTCAGGTGCGATGCGAAAAGGTAGACGCGTGACGACCGACAGAGACGCATTTCAACGGTGATAATGCACAACGATGGAGTTTCGTGCCGTGAATACACGGATTTCCCTCTCTACGTTCCCACTTCTTCCGTCTCACTCGCAACTTTATCGCGGCTTTATCGCGACCTTCTCGCACTCATTCATTCATTTACTTATACGAGCAATCTCCGTCCTGCTCGCTCCTTTACCTCAGGGTCGACGCGAGTATCGATGTGCACGGAGTATTGATTAAAATTAGCGTTACGCCAAAATACTCATTACCTGTCAATGCACTTTGCAAATTACGTTTTTGCCTCGTAAAATGCTTAATCAGTTTTCCAGTAAGACGTTATTTTTTCTATTTTAGAGGCAGAAAACAGAATTCACTATTCTTATTTCTGATTCTGATACGCTCAAGATACGTCACTGAGTATTCCGATATACTCGTTCATCGTTCATCGTTCATCTCACTTCCTCTTACGAATTCGCTTTAACATCGTTTACATTCACGTTCTTTCTCTTTCATTTACGCTGTCTCTCTCGATCACGTGCACACGCTACGCACACTGGCTCCCCAAAGATTCTCCAGCTCGCTCGCTCTTTCGTTCTTTTTGTTAATCTCGCTCTGTGTGCTGACTCGCGCGCGTTCCCATTCGCTCGCTAGCTCCCCACCAAAAGTGAATCACCTTATTTAGCACGGAAAAAAAAATTCTATCACTCGGTGAGCACGTGCTCGTCCACCTCCAGTTCTCCACTGCGCTCCATTGCCGGCTTTCGGAGCGCTTAAGTTATCATGTCTACGATAATACTTTAATTCGTTGACTTGCGCTTTTATCAGCATAGCTAAGCAGTTAAACGTAAGATAATAAAATGTGTTGCAAAATATGGGGAATGTATTTAAACATCGAAATATTTAATTTATTTAATTTAAGCATCGGTCACATGTATTTGCCCACCCCTTTAGATAACTGACAGTTTTTCGCAATTATATCGCTGTCTAAATAGATTAGATTAGATTCTATAAATATGCTATCTTCCATTCATCATAATTGTTCAAGCCTTTAAAAATATTCTCTGTTA